GCGGAAAATCCCCTAGATCAATTCAAACTCATTTTTCAAATCTGCTCACTTCCCAAGCAGAAACAAATTACCGCCATCTCTCTGAGATTTAATTGCTTTCACTCCAGAAAAACACCCCTTCTGCACAGAGGAATGAGGCAAAAGAAGAAATGCTAGATTAATCAGTAAAGAATGAGTGGGTCTGAGTTGTTTTTTCCTTCTCCTAAATTAACTTAGTGTTACTTGTCAGTTAATATATAGTAATTTGCACATTGTGAAGAACTCAGTACTTCCCCTTGTTCAGATCAGGAGCTGAAATATCTATTCACCTACAGATTTCCAAAAGAAAATGCTTTTGCAAGAAAAAAAAAAAAAAGGTTAAGAAATGAATGAGAAAAAAAAAAAAGGAAGAAGGGAGAGAGAAGGAGAGAGAGAAAAGAGGCCAGTGAGAAAGCAAGAAAAGGAGAAAACGTGCCTGCGTGAGAGAAAGCAAGCAAGAAAGAAGGAGGGAAAGGAAGAAATTTGATCTAAGCTGTAATATTTCTGAAGCACTGGATCCAGCATGAAATAATGGGCCAATCATGTGTAACATAAAGAAGCTCAATGTAATAAGATTTGGTAAGGTCAGAGTCTTTTTTTTTTTTTTTTTTCAAATGAGTTATTGTTCTTGAAAGTGACGCTGAGCTATAGTAGGCAGTGGTAGGAAAGGAAACATCTTGTTTACAAATGTCAGCCAGCAATTAGCGTCATTTAAAGAGTGGAACCACAACTGCTGTCTTTTGTTAGCTTTGAAAACCTCATCTCTTTCTTGTGGCCACGTTTTAAGAGGCAAAGTAGACAGCAAGACTCTGAAACCAGTTCATAAATAGTTGATTTCATATTTTAAAATCTTGCCTATAACTGTCACCCCCCTCGCGTGGATCACAGATGGTGAAGAACTAATTTGTTACTGTTTGATAACGGCTTTTATGTATCAAAGCTCTTATTTACTACTCTGTGGGGGGAAATGACAGACTAAAAGCAATTATGTGTTTTTCTTTCAGTTTTTCTTTAACCACTATGCTCTTTGGCTTTTTTTTTTTTCTTTTCCACTCCGACATGTTTCTTATTTGAAATATAGCATTGTGAATCTTTTACATGTGTTGGTTCTCATTTAACCCTCTTTCTGGGTTTTCAAGAATGCATCTGGCCAGGCCGATCAACTGTAATCTTTCATGATTGTTTATAATGGCCCAGTGATAAGTAATAACACTCAGGGGTGTCTCCCGGTAACAGTGTATTACATTTCAGTATTAAAAATGCAAATTGGGACTTTGCTTTTGAAGATTGTCAGGAAAATGTTTCAAGGAGGGAGAATAGCTACCAGGATGCCTGTAAGTGAAATAACCCCCTTTCCCCCCTCCGTGTGGGGCCTCCTGCCCACAGGTTTTCTGAAGGAGCCCCCCTCCTCCTTCCCCTAAAATAAATAAATAAGTGAAGAGGCTTTCCTCTGTATGTGGCATTAAGTAACCGATGTTAAATCTTTGGTGCTGGCAAGTCATGAACTCTCACATCTGTGCATTTTTTTTCTGGCTGGTGCTATGCAAACCACGCACTTGGTGTTGCCATCAAGAATGATTTTGCTGTGGGTTGTGTTTTCTGGTGTTGCACTGCAGCAGAGCTGATGGGGCTGCACATAGTTTTATTCTGAATAAACAAAGGAGGGTCCAACTTGGTGATGACCAGAGCTGATTTGTTGGTGGGTTTCCTTAATATAAATCAGTGAGTCTGCTTGTGTGATTAAAATTTAGGACGTGTGCGAACACTACTGTGATTTTGGTCTTCAGTGTAAATGTAAAGGCAAAAGAATGCTATTATAGATAGGAAACGTCAATATAGCAATGTAGTATTATAATTATGGCTATAGACGGAGGAAAACACTGCCTATTGTTGCTGAAATCAATACGAATTTTCCCACTGACTTAAATGAAAGAAGGAATAAGTCACCATGGAAAAACCCACGGAAAGATTATAAGCTTTTGTTTGTCTCATTACATCCTTTAAATTACCTCCTAGCTCTCTTTCCCTGTTTCACCCTCCTTTTCTTCTTCCATATTATGCCCACACTGGCATTAGGTGGTGCCTGTTAACATCAGTGGGACTGCTTGTGGAATTGCTCAACATAAGGACAGAATATTCTCATCGAATAATAATATACAGAGCACGCACTTCCATACTCTCTGAAACATGTCTTTTAACCAAAGCTTAGACTACCAGGAAGACAAATCAAGAAAATGCAGAAAACCAGAAGAGGAGTGAAAAGGGCAATGGAATTTAGGAAGCTAGTATGCCTGTTTAAAGATGAAACATCACAATTTAACCCCTTTTCAAACCAAAATATAGGAATAGCCCTTATTTCCAGGCTTTAATACTAGAAACCTTCAATCGAATCCATAAATCACTTCCACATGTTTTTGAATAAATCTCTGTTCTGTATTTTACAAATTGCTTTCTCAAGACATAGTTTGAGTAAGGTCAGCAATCCTTCCCTCCTCTTGTTCGACTTTCTCAGAGTGAAATTCACCTCTGGCAGTTGTCAAGAACAAGATCTGTGTCACCGAACTCCTGCCTAAGCCAATTGATTTCTAGTGAGAGCTATATTTAGGCTAATCAGGTCCACTGTGTCTGGATGTGGCAATGAAATAGCTGAAGCATGCTCTATCAGGCCCCATTTGAAAATGCTGGCCCAAGTGTGCCTGTCATTTCTGCTGTATTTCAGACTCTCCATCATTTTGATAATTATACAGCTTGGAAACTTTTTTTCTTTTTATAGTCTTTGAAACTATAATGAAGTCTTCAGTGTTGCCAACCCAAACCATCCAAAAATCTTGAATCGGGCTTGAAATAATCATGAGATTGGCCTGAAAATCATGCAACTGAATGTACTTGGCTTCTCTTTATTTGCCTTCTGGTTTTGAGTGTTTAAGGTGCAATGGGGTCACATTTACAGGGTTTCCTCTGCGTCTGTGTGGGCCAGAAATGCAATCTTTTTATAAGACAACTGAAATTCCTTGGGTATTCACATGACTCCAGGAGCTGGGATTTAATGGGGGGGGGAGGGGGGGGGGGAAGTGAAGGGGGAATCCACTGTGTTTGGGCTTGTGACAGAATTGGAAGCCTTGGCAATACAGCGCGTCTCACATTCAAAGTTTGTTTATAAGGGGAATATAGTTCGATGGAGAGGGAGAACAGAGTTCCCTTCTGTTCTCTTCTGACTTGAGAGAAAATTCCTCCCAAAGGGTGAACTTCACTTTGCAGAGCCAGCACAAGGCCTATTCAGCATCTGAAGTGATGCATAGACCTGGCTGTGGCTCTCTTTATATGAATTTACCTCATGCAACATTAAGAGAAGCTGCAGAAGTTATTGTAGCTGAGATAGTTTAATGTTCTCAAGTAAAAAAGGAAATTCTTTATAAAACTGCCCATTATCATGGATTTGGAAGCAAAGTCCAATGAGGAGGGCTATAGGACTGAAAGCCCTTGTGAAAGAGGATGGAGGAGGCCCTTGAAGCTGAAAGAGAGCTGCATATGAAAGCATATAACCCATTAGGTATAACTGAATGTAGGAATCCAGTCTTAGGACACGTACGTGTTTGTAGAGTAGGAAGATGGCTGGAGATGCCGGTAGGAGCAGCACCTGGGAAAGTAAGCAAGCAAAGATGTAGGTGAGAAAAATATTCTCCCGAGTTCCCCTTTCTTACTGCTGTTATAAGTGGGACATAAAGCTTTGAATGTAGGACCAAGACATTAAAGCTGGGATTCAATTCATTGGTTATAAATATCTGCAACACAAGACATTTAAAGTGGGATTCACCTCATCCACCGTCAACATGTGCACTAGTTCCTTGGTAAGCAATAGAAATTAATAGAGACTTCTGGGGTGCAATTCATCTCATCCTCAGATATCTAAACAGATTAGATAAACTGCATCATAAAAATGCCTTTTTATTTCCACTGCCTATGTAGGAAGATGACTAGTTCTTAGACTATTGCAGAAGTCTAAAGTTAAGCATTTTTCCCATGTTTTGCTTAAGAAAAGTCTTAGGTGACAGCTTTTTGAGTGATTCAGGATATAACTGTACATGTTCTTGGTGCAGCACTGTGTGTTTATGTGCACATGCACGGGGTGTTTGGATAATTTTTGCTTATGTTAATGTCTAAATTGGGAAGTAGCAAGAGTAGTAGGGAGTTTATTGCTGCTCTTGGAGAAGAATGTCATTGGACAAGACTGAACTGCATGAACAGGGAGATATAGATACGGCTTTCAGCCATCTATACTACATGATAAATGTCTATATATTGCAGTGTCCATACTCTGGGATCCTCATGTCCAAACCATGTCTGAATGTCTCAGATCAGTCTGTAATGCTTTAAAATCATTTGACTGGTTTTGCTTTTCTTCTGTGACTAGTGACACCTTTAAGTAATGCACCATTAGTGTCTCTTATCCCAGTTGTGTATGCCTTAAAAATTGGCAGAGTGTTTTCACTCAAAAGGTATCACATTCAATTTAAGTACAGGATTTGGAGCATGCCAAGCCAAGTACTCTTGGCCAGCAATTTGACATCCTGAACAAATAAGGTTTGAACTCCTGCTCTGAAACAGGAAAAGGATCATTTAGTCTGTTTGAATATCATTTAGAGTAGGATAGCTTTATTTTTTTGATGCAGCAGTAGTGTCAACTGTTGATTCTGACAGATTTATTGAACTGACGGTTGTACATTAAACATACAGCTTTAGACATAGCTTAAATATATATTCAATGTTTCTATGAAATCTAATTTATGAAAATACCCTATGATATGTGGATTATAAATGCAACATAAAATCAATTATAGCCAAAGGTTCTCAGGGCAGGCTTTTTCCATCACAGTTATGATAGAGGTTAAGAACGAGGACCAGGGAAATTGCACACAAAGGAAGAGATCCACAGAAAGACGTAGGTACTTATTTGCCAAATTAGGCATAGAAGTAAAACCCCGTATTCTCAGCCACACTTTCCTCCTTCCCTCTGTTTCAGCTGTTGCCCATCTTCTGAGACATGCTCTTTCAGTCAGTAAAATTTTCTGGGTGCTTCAATTTCTGCTGCAGAGAGAGTAAAACATTAACAGTGCCTGCTGCTCTGAATAACCCTGACAAGACCATGTGTATGTGGAACAGTGGGATGGAAGATAGTCAAGTGAGAAGATATCTTCTTGGACCTGAAAGAAGTGTCCATGTGGCAATGCACAGTAATAAGCACTGCCTCTTAAGCAGGGTGATCAACTTTAAGTAGGGCACCCCATCAACTGACCAAACTGTTTCTGATCTGCAAGGTGGCTTAGTTTACAGCTATCTTGGGTAGCTCTGTTAGGAACCGCATCAAGAGGAGGTATGCTCTTAGCACCCAATGTCCATTGGGAGATAAAATGGAGGAATTTGGGGACAAATGCAGGTGACAGCACAAGCTGAGCCAGGCTCCTCTCCTAATGCTCTGAGCCCACCTTCCAGTGCCAGCTATGGACTGACTGCCATATAGTGGTCTTCACATGGTGCTGCACACCTACATGCCCTCCTTACATGGCTGTGTAGTGAAGTGTTACCATTACCAGTGTTGTCCAGCAAGATGGAATGGTGATATAGGTATTTAGATAGATAGGAGCCAAATTTTTGCTCATACACATGCACACAAGACTGTGTCCCATCCTCTTACTCCTACTCTTAATTTATACTTCCAAGTGATTTACAGAAATCCTGGTGTGGCATGGTAACATTTTCGATACCTCATTTGCCAGACTTAAACCACTTTTCATTTGTGGTCTTGCTATGCCACTGTTGAGAAGAAAAAAAAAGTGTTTTCTGTCTCATGGCTGCTGCAGCGCAACCTTTACAAGGAGCTTTAGCTCTTATCTGCTTGTCATTGCTTTAAAAAAGTACTCAATACCACAACTTTTTACATAGCAGTTGTAAAAATAGTAATAGTAATAAGAAGAACACTAATAACACCCCCATCTGTTTGAGTTCTGAGGCTCCTTGGTTCATGTGCTTCCCTTATTGAGGCTCAGACTGCTGTGAGAGAACCTTTAACCTGTGTCTAACTATGCACCTGTTGAGGTGAATAGAAGCTGAGGCAAGTCGGTGTGGGCAGCTTCAAAAAAACCTCACCCAGGAAACACTAATTTGTTTTAAAAAAGGGCTACAGCCTCTGTTGCTTTGCAATTTAGACGAAGAATCTGATTTTTTGTATATTTTTGTTAATTAAGCTTATGTGTCTGATACTTGATTTAATTGAAGCTATGATCATGCAATAGAAATTGACAGTACACTCATAGACAAAGTGCTCAGTTTATAGAGAATCTACAGAAATTTTCCTTAATTTGCTTTCAGCCTGAAAGAACCTAACAACAAAATATTAAGCAGAAATCACTAGACATTTACTGTCAAATATAAGCTGAAATACCACACTTAGCACAAACACAGTGTAACCCATGTTATATTAAGCATAATAAATACTAAGCCTCAAAATTTACCCTTTTGGCATTGAACTTACAATGTCCTTGTCCTGTAGCTACATGGATTCACTTGCATTATGACAAAATACATGCAAGATAGTCCCTGTGAAATAAAAATGTCATTTATGGCTTCTTACTTGTAATCATGTGCAAAAATATAATAAAATCACACACGTACAAAAGGAACAAATACATTAATGTTATTGTTGTGCTATTAGCAATTGTTAATTTGACAAATGAGTGTTTCAGGAGCTAGCTCTGGCTTTTGCTCTGATGGATCTGCTGTACCATATGCTATTATTCAGGCTAGCAATGGTGATGCAGAGCTCATTTTCTGTCTACTGATCAGTGTAACTTTCTGAGCTTGTTCTCTGCTACTGATAAAGATCTATCCTTTTTTTTTTTCCTGGGCTTTCTAGCAATTAAAAGTGATCTCAGATATTGCCACTCTGCACTGCTGTTTGATGTTTATTTGCTCTATCACCAGCACAACAAAGGAAAGGCAGCTTTAATTTGCTGTATTTTGTGTAATGCAAACGTGAGTTACTGTATATCCCTTAACAGCCCATCATTAATTTCCCTTGCATGCCGTTTCCAGGTTTTGTATATTGCTGGCTGTTGTTATAGTATGTAAAGCATCAGCTGCTGTTTCACAGCTTGGATTTTAAGGGGTCCACAAGGAGAGATCAAAAGCTGAAATTCTAATATTGCCTCTAATGGAAGAACTATTACCCAAACAAGCAGGATGTAGATTTCTTTCCTAGCAGAATGCTGCTATGGCATTCTCGCACTAATAGCCCTGCATCATTCAGGACTCTGGCAATACATGGTTTCCAGTTCTGAGAAACATGTATTTATTTTACACTTATCCTTTTGCCTAAGGAAAAAAAAACAAATAGTCTAACTAATTTAGAAGTGAATTTATTTGTATAAATTCTTACAATGGACTCATCAGCTTAGTATATGGGCATTGTCAGTAAAAAAAAAATGTTACTGACATCGAACATTTGTGATAAACAGAGATTAAGCTTAAAGACAGAACAGTATGACTGTGTGAGAATCCGACTTGTGCAGAAAGCTAAAATCTGGTAATTAGTAAAATTATAGATCTGGACCAGTTTCTATACTAATTCTAACGTTCTTCCTAAACTGCAAGGCATCTTTAGCAGTTGTCTTGGAGGCAATGTGACTCTCTTATTTGACTGACCGATTCAAACCCTGCTCTTTTCTGCAAATGTAAAAAGTATTACATAGTTCAAGCGAACTGAGAGAAACTAGCATATCATGGAGAGTCCAACCTTTTATTCTTTAAAAGACTGCTTTGCAAAGAAAGCTACCATGGCAAAGAGAGGTGTTAGACAGAAGGAAATTTTCTTTCTAAACATGGAAGATTCCTCATCCCTCAAAATAAGGAGAGAATGTATTGTTATGGTTTGATCAAAACAAAATCCGATTTATTTTCTTTCATGGTTGAAGATACAGACTCTAGTTCTTGGAGGAATGCTTGAGATTTTTTAATTCAGTCATCGTCACTGTTCACATTCTGAACTAAAGATAAACATAGATACTGATATCATGAGAACCTCAAATAAAAGTTTATTCCATGATTAGGCATTCGGTGCCTTTTAGGAAAAGATCACATACAGCTTCATGTATTGGGTTAAGATTGCTATTCCACATACCTATTTCTGAAAAAAAATCAGTTGAGAATATTTGCAGAGCTCATCCTTTAGAAGGAGAGACCCCGTCCCAAACCGTGGCTGTTCAGGTCTCTGGGTGCAGGGAGTGCCAGAGCCTGATGCTGCCGGGGGAGGGAGGACAGCATTCCACCTGCGTGAGGTGTGAGCAGGTAGAAGATCTGCTTAGCCTGGTGGCAAGACTTAAGGAGGAGGTCGAGACGCTGAGGACCATCAGGGAGTGTGAAAGGGAGATCGACTGGTGGAGTAACTCCCTGGAGTGCCGGTCGGAACGGTTCCAGGGAGATACCCCCCAAAAGGGGAAGGACCCCCTGCCCTCTCAGGCAGAGGGGGATGGCCCGAGACAGCCCCTGCTCTGTAGCTGTAGCGCAGAGGTAGGGGACCAAAAAGACGACGAGGGTTGGAAGCGAGTTCCGGTTCGACGTCGGGGGAAACCCTCCCCCTTCCTGCCCTGCTTCCCCAGGTGTCCGTCCGTAATAGGTTCGAGGCCCTGGATCTTGAAGGAGAGGTAAGTGAGAATGTGGGGCAAGGCCAGCCCACAAGGCCACATAGGAAAAGGGGGTCGACTTTGCACCTCAGGACTGCCTCTGTTAAGAAAGAAAGAAGGGTCATTGTAGTAGGGGATTCCCTTCTGAGAGGAACAGAGGGCCCGATATGCAGAGTTGACCCTCATCACAGGGAAGTGTGTAGTCTGCCTGGAGCCCGGATCAGGGATATCACCAGGGCGCTCCCCAGCTTGGTGCACCCGACAGACTACTACCCGCTGCTGGTCTTCCAGACAGGTGGGGGGAAGCTGCTTCCCGCAGTCTGAGGGGGATGAAGAAAGACTACAGGGCCTTGGGGAGGATGGTGAAAGAGTCTGGGGCTCAAGTGATCTTCTCCGCACTCCTTCCATCTTCCACTGATGATGTGGGAAGGAATGGGAAGATTCAGTTCATGAACAATTGGCTACGAGACTGGTGCTACAGGCAGGGCTTTGGATTCTTTGATAATGGCTGGTTTTATAGGGCACCAGTCTGGACAATGTCAAGTGAGAAAGGTTTGTCTCACAGAGGCAAAAGGATACTGGGGCACGAATTAGCAGGGCTCATTTGGAGAGCTTTAAACTAGATTCGAAGGGGGATGGGGTTGTTGCTGGGCTTGCCCCAGTGGGGCAGCGCTCCAGAATTAATGAAGACTGGGAGGCCTCCTATAATCCTAGGGTGAAATCGGTGTGCTCAGCTCGCTCCCTGAAATGTCTGTACACCAATGCGCGCAGCATGGGAAATAAACAGGAGGAGTTGGAAACCTGTGTTAAGTCAGGAGACTATGATCTGGTGGCAATTACAGAGACGTGGTGGGACAGCTCACATGACTGGAATATAGTCATGGAGGGCTATGTCCTTTTTAGGAAAGACAGGCCAGCCAGGAAGGGTGGTGGGGTTGCTCTTTATGTGCGGGAGGAACTACAATGCACCGAGTTCTGTCTGGGGACAGATGATGAGCGAGTTGAGAGTCTGTGGGTGAGAATTAAGGGGCAGGCTGGCAGGGGCGATACTGTTGTAGGTGTCTGTTACAGACCCCCAGATCAGGGTGAGGAAGTTGACGAGGCCTTCTACAGGCAGCTGAGAGAGGCCTCACAGTCACAGGCCGTGGTCGTCATGGGGGATTTTAACTTCCCTGATGTTTGCTGGAAGGACCACTCGGCAACCCAGCCGCAGTCCAGGAGGTTCCTCCAGTGTGTGGATGATAACTTCCTCCTGCAAATGGTGGATGAGCCGACCAGGAGAGGAGCGCTGCTGGATCTCATCCTCACTAACAAGGAGGATCTGGTTGAAGCAGTAAGGGTTGAGGGCTGCCTTGGTTGCAGCGACCACGAGATGGTGAAGTTCAGGATCTTGTGTGGTAGGACTAGTAGAATACCAAGTAGAATTGCAACCCTGGACTTTAGCAGGGCAAACTTTGGCCTTTTCAAGCAATTGCTACGGGAAATCCCATGGGCAAGGCTGCTTGAAGGAAAAGGGGCCCAAGATAGTTGGTTGACATTCAAGGACTGCTTTTTCCGTGCTCAAGATCGGAGCATCCCGACACGTAGGAAGTCAAGGAAGAGGGCCAAGAGACCTGTGTGGCTAAATAGGGAATTGCTGGGTATGCTCAAGTGGAAGAGGAGAGTTTACAGGTCATGGAAGGAGGGGCTGGCCACTTGGGAGGAATATAAGGCTGCTGCTAGGGGATGTAGGAAGGCAGCTAGGAGGACTAAGGCTTCCTTAGAATTAAACCTGGCAAGAAGGGTCAAGGACAGCAAAAAGAGCTTTTTCAAGTACATGGCAGACAAAACTAACACCAGAGGCAATGTAGGCCCACTGATGAACGGGATGGGTGCCCTGGTGACAGAAGATGCAGAGATGGCAGAGTTACTGAATGCCTTCTTTGTCTCTGTCTACTCTGCTGCAGGCAGTCCTGAAGAGCCCTATACCCCTGAGACCTTAGATGAAGTCAGGTCGACGGAGCGACTTGCCTTAGTCGATGAGGAATGGGTTAGAGATCAGTTGAGCAATCTGGACGTCCATAAATCCATGGGTCCAGATGGGATGCACCCGCGGGTGCTGAGGGAACTGGCGGAAGTCATTGCTAGACCACTCGCCATCATCTTTACCAAGTCCTGGGAAACGGGAGAGGTGCCTGAGGACTGGAGGAAGGCAAATGTCACTCCGGTCTTCAAAAAGGGCAAGAAGGAGGACCCGGGTAACTATAGACCGGTCAGCCTCACCTCCATCCCTGGGAAAGTGATGGAACACCTTGTCCTTGGTGCCATCTTAAAGCATATCAAGGATAAGAGGGTTATGAGGGGCAGTCAACATGGCTTCACCAGGGGGAAATCATGTTTGACCAATCTCTTAGCCTTTTATGAGGAAATAACACGGTGGATGGATGATGGCAGAGCGGTGGATGTGGTCTACCTTGACTTCAGCAAAGCCTTTGACACAGTCTCCCACAGCATCCTCACAGCTAAATTGAGGAAGTGTGGACTGGATGACCAGGTAGTGAGGTGGACTGCGAACTGGCTGAAGGAGAGAAGCCAGAGAGTTGTAGTCTATGGGGCTGAGTCTAGTTGGAGGCCTGTAACTAGTGGAGTGCCTCAAGGGTCAGTACTGGGACCAGTATTATTTAATATATTCATCAATGATTTAGAAGAGGGAATTGAGTGTACTATCAGCAAGTTTGCTGATGACACTAAGCTGGGAGGAGTGGCTGACACGCCAGAAGGCTGTGCTGCCATCCAGCGAGACCTGGACAAGCTGGAGAGTTGGGCAGGGAATAACGGGATGAAATATAACAAGGGAAAGTGTAGAGTCCTGCATCTGGGCAGGAACAACCCCAGGTTCCAGTATAGGTTAGGGAACGACCTGCTAGAGAGCAGTGTAGG